GCTAGGATTGTCCAATTTAATTGGAAAAAGTTTGAGAATTCAAATTTGAGATTGAGTATTCTATGGGACAAAAAGATCTGTGAAAACATGAATTAAAAAAACTGAACCGATTCAAAAACACTTGTCTGTTCCGTGAGCTAGGGTTGGTTGGATTAAAGGCTAGAATTGTCCAATTTGACTGGAAAAAGTATGAGAATTCAAATTAGAGATTGAGGATTCTAAGGGACACAAAAGATCTGTGAAAACACGAAATTAAAAAACTGAACCGATTCCACAACACCTGTCTGTTCCGTGAGCTAGGGTTGATTAGATCAAAGGCTAGGAGTGTCCAATTTGACTGGAAAAAGTATGAGAATTCAAATTTGAGATTGAGGATTCAAATGGACACAAAAGATCTACAAAAACATCAATCAAAAAAACTGAACCGATTCAACAACACCTGTATATTCCTTGAGCTAGGGTTGGCCATATCACAGGCAAGGAGTGTCCAATTTGATTCGAAAAAGTATGAGAATTCAAATTAGAGATTGATGATTCTAATGGACACAAAAGATCAGCAAAAACAAGAATAAAAAAAACTGAAACCAATTCAACAACACCGGTCTGCTCATGAGCTAGGTTTTGGCTCGATCAAAGGCTATGATTGTCCAATGTGATTGAAAAACATATAGAATTCGAATTAGAGATTTAGAATTCAATGGGCCCCCAAGATCTGCAAAACTAGAACCAAAAAACTGAAACGATTCAATAATATCTGTCTGTATAATTAGCTAGGGTTGGCTAGATCAAAGGCTAGGAGTGTCCACTTTAATTGGAAAAAGTTTGAGAATTCAAATTAGAGATGAGGATTCTATGGGACACAAAGATCTGTGAAAACAGGAATTAAAAAACTGAACCGATTCCAAAACACTTCTCTGTTCCTTAGCTAGGGTTGGTTAGATCAAAGGCCAGAAGTGTCCAATTTGATTCAAAAAGTTGAGAATTCCAATTTTGATATTGAGGATTCTAATGGACACCAAAGATCTGCAAAACAAGAATAAAAAAAACTGAACGATTCAACCACACCGTCTGTTCCGTGAGCAGGGTTGGCTCGATCAAAGGCTATGAGTGTCCAATTTGATTGGAAAAAGTATGATAATGTCGAAATTAGAAGTTTAGATGCTCCTAAGGGGACACAAAGATATCTGAAAAACATGAATCAAAAACTGAACCGATTCAACACACTCGTCTGTATCGTGAGCTAGGTTGGTTAGATCATAGGCTAGGAGTGTCCATTTATTGGAAAAGTTTGAGATTCAAATTAAGATTGAGGATTCTAATGGACACAAAAGATCTGCAAAACACATCAATCAAAAAAACTGAACCGATTCCACAAAACTGTCTGTTCCGGAGCTAGGGTTGGCCATATCACAGGCAAGGAGTTCCAATTTGATTCGAAAAGTGTATGAGAATTCAAATTAGAGATGAGGATCTAATGGACACAAAAGATCTGCCAAAACAAGAATCAAAAAAACTGAACCAATTCAACAAACACCGGTCTGTTCCGTGAGCTAGGTTGGCTCGATCAAAGGCTATGAGTGTCCAATTTGATTGGAAAACATACGAGAATTCGAATTAGAGATTTAGAATTCAAATGGGCCCAAAATATCTGCAAAAACTAGAACCAAAAAAACTGAAACGATTCAATAATACTGTCTGTATAATAGCTAGGGTTGGCTAGATCAAAGGCTAGGAGTGTCCAATTTAATGGAAAAAGTTTGAGAATTCAAATTTAGAGATTGAGGATTCTATGGGACAAAAATCTGTGAAAACATGAATTAAAAAACTGAACCGATTCAAAAACAACTTGTCTGTTCCGTGAGCTAGGTTGGTTAGATCAAAGGCTAGAAGTGTCCAATTTGACTGGAAAAAGTATGAGAATTCAAATTAGATATTGAGGATTCTAATGGACACAAAAGATCTGCAAAACATGAATCAAAAAACTGAACCGATTCATCCACACCCGTCGTTACGTAAGCTAGGGTTGGCTAGATCAAAGGCAAGGAGTGTCAATTTGATTGGAAAAAGTATGATATTCAAATTAGAGATTGATGATTCTAATGGACACAAAGATCTATTACAATGAATTGAACACTAATCGTTCACACACACCTGTCTTTTCGTGAGCTAGGGTTGGTTAATCATAGGCAGGGCAGCGCAATTCAATTGACTGCTAAAGCAAAAACGTAAACACTTGAAACGATCAAAATACGTGTTAATTAGTGGTTTCTAGATCAAATGTAGGAGTTTCCATTTGGGAAAATAGAGAATCAATTGGGATTGAGATCTAAGGGCACAAAAGATCTTGAAAACATAATAAAACTGAACCGATTCAACAACACCTTGTTTCGTGAGCTAGGGTGAGATCATCAGGCTAGGAGGTCATTTGACTGAAAAGTATGAGACATTCAAATGAGATATGAGGATCAATGGACACAAAGATCTGCAAAAACATGAATCACAACTATTCAACCATCTACTTCGACTGGGTTGCTAGAATCAAAGCCAATGCGTGTCTCCAATGCATGGGGAACAGTAGAGATTCAATTAGATGTTGGCTCGATGGACACAAGAGCTATGCAAACAGATTAGCAAACTGTGAATCGTGCACAACCATGTCTGTGCCGCCTTATGATGATGCTGGATAGTTGCTGGATCAATCCTATGAGTTGATGGGGAAAAAAGAAAAAAGTACGACAATTCAAATTGACTGGACCCCCCCCACCTAAAAATATCTCTCAAATCTCTCAAAAAAAAAAAGAGAAAAAAAAAACTGAAAACGATTCACTATAAACTGTCTGTATAAGTATTTGGGTTGGCTAGATCAAAGCTAGGAGTGCCAATGATTGGAAAAGTTTGAGAATCAAATTGGGATTGAGGATCTAAGGGACACAAAAGATCTGTGAAAACACGAAATTAAAAAAACTGAACCGATTCCACAAACACCTGTCTGTTCGTGAGCTGGGTTGATTAGATCACAGGCTAGGAGTGTCCAATTTGACTGAAAAAAGTGTGAGAATTCAATTAGAGATTGAGGATTCTAATGGACACAAAAGATCTGCAAAACAAGAATCAAAAAACTGAACCAATTCAACAACACCGGTCTGTCGTGAGCTAGGGTTGGCTCGATCAAAGGCTATGAGTGTCCAATTTGATTGGAAACATACGAGAATTCCAATTAGAGATTTAGGATTCCAATGGGCCAAAAGATCTGCAAACTAGAACCAAACAAAAACTGAAACGATTCAAAATATATATGTCTGGATATTAGCTGGGGTTGGCTAGATCAAAGGCGGAGTGTCAATTTAATTGGAAAAGGTTTGAGAATTCAAAATTAGAGATGAGGATTCTAGGACACAAAAGATCTGTGAAAACACGAATTAAAAAAACTGAACCGATTCCACAACACCTCTGTTTCCAGTGAGCTAGGGTTGATTAGATCAAGGCTAGGTGTCCAATTTGACAGGAAAAGTGTGTGAGATTCAAATTAATATTATGGATTCTAATGGAAACAAAAGATCTGCAAAAACAATCAAAAAAACTGAACCAATTCAACAACACCGTCTGTTCCGTCAGCTAGGGTTGGCTCGATCAAAGGCTATGAGTGTCCACTTGTGAGTGGAAACATACAAGAATTCGAATTAGAGATTTAGAATTCAAATGGGCCCAAATTTTGCAAAAACCAGAACAAAAAACTGAAAACGATTCACAATATATGTCTGTATAATTAGCTAAGGTTGTCTATCAAGGCAGGATGTCCAATTTTAAATTGTAAAAAGTTTAGATTCAAATTAGAGATTTGAGGTTCATGGCACACACATATGTGAAAACATGACTTAAAAAACTGAACCGCTTCAAAACAACTTGTCTGTCCGTGCGCTAGGGTTGGTTATCAAGGCTGGAAGTGTCCATTTGAGGAAAATATGAGAATTCAAATAATAGCATATTAGAGGATTCTAATGGACCAAAAACATAATACTGCAGAAACCTGAATCAAAAAAACTGAACCGCTCCTCCACACCCAGCCCTTACGTAGCTAGGGTTGGCTTAGATCAAAGGCAAAGTGTCCTTTGTCGGCAAAAGTATAGAGATTCAAATTAGAGATTGATCATTATAATGGCACACAAAGATCTATGAAAACATTATTAAAAAACTAAACCGCTCTACAACACACCTCTTCTGTTTCGTGAGCTAGGGTTGGTTAGATCATAGGCTAGGAGTGTCCAATTTGACTGGAAAAAGTATGAGAATTCAAATTTGAGATTGAGGATCTAATGGACACAAAAGATCTACAAAACCTCAATCTCAAAAAACTGAACCGATTCACAACACCTGTCTATTCGGGAGCCAGGGTTGGCCTATCAAGGCAAGGAGTGGCCCAATTGATTCGAGTGGAAGCCCACGTCAAAACTCGCAAGATCCGAGTGATACTCTCGCCGAACGGCAAGTGCTGTAGGAAAAAAATTTGGGGCAGACAAAAAAATAACGGCTCCAACAACAGGAAAACAAAGTCCCACGGTGCTCTGGAGACCCTTTACCTAAACCGGGACCCAGCGCTCTAAAGGCACTAACCTCCCTACCTTCAACCTTGCCGATTCTGCCAACACCTACCACCACAGCACACGGAGGTTCCACAAATGTTTTTACGGACCCTGCCGATCGACAACAGCTCCTCCAAAACAAACCGGACAGCACCGGCCGAGGCCTAGCTCCAATGGCCCGAACCGAGAACTTTCCCAATCACCGGTCTTGTCTTAGTTCCGTCACTTCGCTAGGCCTCCAACTCCCAACGCTTTGCTGGGATATAGACAACAACCTTCAGCAAAATCCATGTCGTACCACCCTTGACGAACGGCAAGGGTCCAGCAGAAGAAAAGGAGGGTCTAAAAACAAAACAAACAAAACACAAGGCAAATAGCCTTGTCAAACCGGCAAGGACTGTGCAGAAGGTAGAGGGCCCCATGACAATACCTGCTGCAGGTGGAGAGACCCAAAACTTTGCCGATGTGTTCCGTTGCCAAACCACCACAGCTCGGCTGCGTTCTTCACCCCGTGCCGAAGCAAGCCCAACTACTCTCTTGCTTGCTGGTCCGATGATAGGACCCCGCCCCGAATCTCTTCTTGGAAACCGGGACGGACCCCCCGCACCTACTAATTTCGACTCACCCACCTAACCCACCACATGCCGGCCCCCTTGTTAGACCGAGACTTTCTCTACACCAAAAATTTGGCAGAGTCTCCCCTGTACAATGACATTCCCAACTTTAACCTGTTCAAAATTATGTATATAAACCACCAACTAGCAGATGCTTTACAAGCAATAAAACAGTTTACAACACAGGCCTACGGCCTCACGATTTATACCCTCGCGGGCGATACAGAGCATATCTAAGAAATTCAAATACACCGAAGTACAGTTCAACTAAAAGGAAAAGGTGAAGGAGTCCCTACGAACGACCACAGTTTCGAGAGCACCGTCCGGCTCAGACTGTGGAGCTCAGTTGCTACTGGCTGGGGCGCAAAACAGAAAATTGTGAGTGGGACGAACAATTAAGTTCAGTTCAATTAAATCAAAGTATATAACCCCACCTTTAAAAACATGCAACAATCGATGCATAATAAACCGTCATAAGCAGTATATAAACATATACTAAAAATAATACCGGATACCAAATCCGAATCGTGAATCACACTTCACAAAACCCACCATCAAAACTTAGAGTCCCGATAGATTAACTCTCAAAACGTACCCATGTACGCCGGTGAGGAAGTTCCTTACCGAGAAATAAGAACGACAGAATATTCATATATATATATATATAGTAATATAAATATAATAATAATATATAAATATAACCAAAATTTAGTTGTACCGGGGAAACAATCCAACCGGGGATTGTTTGACTAGTCCACATGGCAGAGCCATTCCTTAATTCACCATGTGTCTAGGGAACGAGCCGTCTACTGGGGAACTAACTCTCAGCCAGCACGTACAGCCGACACAGTCAAAGCTTGTACGCCTGAAATACCAGTCCTACGCGTGCAGACTACCCCAATCCAAGGTCCACAGCAACATCCCTCAAGGATGTCCTGAACTCAAATAATTCCAAGTGTATTCAGTATCAGTAATCAAGTTTCAGATCCAAGGAGGTACATAGGATAGTGCTTAAAGCACTCCAAACAGACATATCAATAATCACCCCTTTACATAAACTCATATTAACCTCCCAAGTACCCCACACATAACCATATGTGTATATATTCTCAAAACCCAAACATATTATCAAAACTTTATGAAAACCACGAATTTCACATTCGAATATATACCATATTCAATAAACAAAATAAAGCAATATGCCATATTTTCCATGAATAAAGTCATGTTGAAGTTTTGAAAGAAAAGTCCACTCACAAGTAGTCCCCACCAGTTTGACCCTGAGAGGGTCCCGCCTGCTGCGTATACGGGGTCGGAGTACCTGATTCAGAATACGAAAATGCGATTAACATCAAGCGCTTCGAAACAGAACTTTAAAATAAAACTCTAGCTTCTCAGGTTTCCAGTGAGTACGAGGAAAGAGGTGTTCTAGGGTCCAACTACCCAATTCGCACGATGAAACAGCCTCGGAAGACACTCGGTCAACCGACGATCAATTTTCCAATTCGAGTCAACCGGGCCCACGGGACCCATGACCTCCGTTTTTCAATCCGGGAGTTCCTATAGGTTTTACAAGGTCTAGGATACACGTCCTGCAAGTTTGGTCTGAAAACGGGCGGTTAGATCGCTCACGATCACACGATTGGACGGTTACTGAACCCCAAACCTAGGGTTGGCATTTTCGGAGAATACGGGACTCCGTTTTGCGGTCCGTTGAATCCTACACGATCCTAAGGGTGTCTAGAGTAACATACTTCAATTTGAAAACGATCCAACGGTCGGAACATATCGAACCCGGATAACGCACAATATGCGATAATCCATTCGATAGTCAAACGACCTCGGAATCGAGATCCACGAAATCCTACGCGCTCGTGACAACCTAAGATGACACTGGAACAATTTGCAGCTCCACCACACTTGCCCACGCCGCCACAAGCGCTGGCAGCAAGCGGTTGTGCAGAGAAATTCCGGTGACAGAAAATCTCCAAATCACAAGTCACCCTCCCGGCTACAGGTCCTACTCACTAGGGAGCACTTCATTCAACTACGGCCAAGCCCAAAACCCGGGAAAAAGGTCCAATCCTAACCAAAGGCAGCTAGAACAGATATAGAGAGGAAGAAACCTCACCTCAAACATCGGAAAAAGGCGGCGAGACGATGGCGCAACGATTGGAAAATCCCGAAATGAGAAAATCTCGAAACGAACCAGTTGCAATTGCCGGCTGTTCTTGAGTTTTCCGGCGACGAAAGCTATTGGGTCTTGACCGGGATGTCGAGACGAAGCTTTTGGGACCGGTCTTGAGGGCTGAGGTGGCCGGAAGTGGTGGCGGCGTGGATTTTTCTGTTCGGGTGAACAGTAACTCTGGAGTTTTTACGTAGAGAGGAGAAGAGCTCGGGGAGAGAAAGAGAGAAAGAGTGAGAGTGAGGTAAAACTGAAAGCAAAGCTGATTTTTACCCAAACCCTTCTCGAGTTAATTACGATTTTCCATCGAAGGTAAATTGAATGCCGAAATTTCGTTACAAATCCAAATCGAGTCCACCACACGTCCACGGACTCACCTCAATGCGACCAATCCAAAAATACCAAACACTGCCCCAAACTCTCTTTCCGGATTAAGAAAATGACGAAATACCCTACCCCAAGGGTAATTTCGTAAATTCACATTTAATTAGATTAAATACTTTAAATTGGAAATTTACTTGGAGTCGGGGTGTTACAGTCGAAGCCTTCACAATTCTCCGAGAGGCCTCAAAAATTTCCAAATCACCCCTGCCGTTCGGCAGGTTCTTTTCCAACTACACAGCGCTTGCCACACTTGGTTGAAACCTCCATTTTTTGACCTTGCTGAACCGGAGAAGACCCCTTGCTAGAGCCGTGACAACACGAGCCGAGACTTTCTGCTGCCGAAAGCCGAGACTTGCCGATGCCGAATGCCCCCACAACCTTCAGCCTTGCTGAACGGTAGGACCCATGAAAAATCTTCTCACGAAAAGACTCGCTTGTTTTAGCTGTTAGGCACTGAAACAGTGAGACGACGAATCCAACATGCAGCTGGCGTTGGGCTTCGCGACCTTCATTCTTGCTGATAGACCAAGGACCTAGATCAAAGGAGCAAAGAATGCCTCCAAAAAGGCTCCCAAGCCACCCTTGCCGTTCGGCAAGGGCAATGCTGCAGACTCGGTGCCCAATACTCGAAGATCCTCGGACCACCGTGAGACTTGGCCTATGCTGCCGAAGCAGTGACAACACGAAACCATATCCAAATCACCGAAGTCGAGGGTGTGCTCTAGCAGGCTGTAACCTCCTTTCGAACGGTAGCACTTGATTCCCAGCCTAGCTCCTCAATGCCACGCAACCCAACTCCCTTCTAACTTACCAAAGCGGAGAAAAAGCGCAAGGCTTGACCATGCACAAACCTTGCGATGTGGAAGAAGGTAATGGCCAGCGCAACACAACATGCTGAAAGCTTCATACGTAGTCTAAGCCAAGCCTAGCAAAAAACTCATGCCAAAACACAAGGGCTCGGCCCCATAAATCCCTACTTGCAGAAGCATGGGCAAACAAAATTCCAAAACAGCCTGACCTCCTTGCCGAACGACAAGGGCCGTGTAAAAGGGCCACAAGCCTCACCAAACACCCAAGCTACCCAAGCTACCAAAAAGGAAAAAAAAAGAAAAAAAAAGGCACATTTGCAATTTTCCTTGCGATATGCAAGCTTTGTGTCGCCTTCGGCATCTTCGTACCTAGCCACATCACCTTGCAACATGCAAGCTTTGTGTCGCCATCGGCACCCCCGTGCCTAGCCACATCGTCTTGCGACATGCAAGCCTTGTGTCGCCTTTGGCACCCCGTGCCTAGCCAGATCGCCTTGCGACATGCAAGCTTTGTGCCTTCGACACCCCCGTGCTTGGCCACATCGCCTTGCGACATGCAAGCTTTGTGCCTTCGGCACCCTCGTGCCTGGCTACATCGCCTTGTGACATCCAAGCTTTGCGTCGCCTTCGGTACCCCCGTGCCTAGCCACACCTTGTGTCACCTTCGGCACCCCCCGTGCCCAAGCACATCGCCTTACAAACATGCAAGGTTTGTGTCGCCTTCGGCACCCTCGTGCCTAGGCACATCGCCTTGCGACATGCAAGCTTTGTGCCTTTGACATCCCCTTTGCCTTTGGCATCCCTGTGCCTAGCTACATTGTCTTGCAACATGCAAGTCATTTACCTCTGGCACCCTCGTGCCTAGGCCCATCGTCTTGTGACATGCAATTCTTATGCCTTAGACACCCTCATGCCCAGCCACTTCATCCTGTGACATGCAACTTTATGCCTTCGGCAACCCCTTCATCTTCGGCACCCTCGTGCCAAGTTCTCTCCCTTCCAAATGTCCTTCTTACCCAGGGACTTGAGGGACTATGGGCAGTGCACTATATAGCTTGGAAGATGAACTATGGCGTTGCTCGGCCAGTGCACTTAAAATTACAAGTCCCCAACCAAGAAGTACCTTCTTACTCGCGAACTTGGGGGACTACTGTTGGTACCGTAACTAACCGAGCAACTAGCTTGGCTAGATCATCCACGTGCCATTCTTTGAGAGGTCATCACCTTAGCCAAAGAAGCATTCCCACAAGTCACAACTCTAAGCAAAGCAAGAGAAGTCCCACATCGAAAAACTACAAGAAGTGAAGACTCTCCCTCACCTATAAAAGAAGACCACTCTCTACTTAGAAAAGGGTCTTGAATCTTGACCCTTGGGCCTTGGACTCTCTTCTTGATCCCTGGGCTGGGCTTTATCTTTAATCATGGGCTTCTCTGTGGACGTAGCCCATTCATTAAGGGTGAACCACGTATATCTTGTCTTCTTTATATTTATCACTTGCCCAAATCTTCACACACATGCTGAAGGTTCTCACCTTCACCCATCATCCACCATTCCACCTCTATATAAGTTGACCTCCCAAAAAGAACATCAACAAATTGCATATTTTTCTAAGAACACCATATCTTATCGGTAAGTTATAGTGTAAAGTGTCTACAAAACTGAGAACGCAATATCTTATTCGTAATTTATTGAGTAAATAGACTATTTTTCTAAAAACACTATCTTTTACCAATAAGTTACAGTGTAATGTTTCTATATATCTGAGAACACAACATCTTACCCGTAATTTATTGAGTGAATTGCATATTTTTCTGAGAACGTCATATCTTACCGAAAAGTTATAGTGTAAAAAGCCTATATATTTGAGAATGCAACATCTTACCCGTAATTTATTAAGTAAATAGCCTAATTTTCCAAAAACATCATATCTTAACTGTAAGTTATAGTGTAAACGGCCTATATATCTGAGAACGCAACATTATACCCGTAATTTATTTAGTGAATTGCCTATTTTTCTAAAAACATCATATCTTACTGGTAAGTTATAGTGTAAAGTGTCTATAGATCTAAGAACACAACATCTTACCCATAATTTATTAAGTAAATAGCTTATTTTTCTATAAACACCATATCGTACCGGTAAGTTATAGTATAAAAAGCCAATATATTTGAGAACGCAACATCTTACACGTAATTTATTACGTGAATTGCATATTTTTCTGAAAAACCATCTCTTATCGGTAAGTTATAATGTAAAGTGCCAATATATCTGAGAAGGCAACATCTTAAACGTAATTTATTGAGTAAATAGCTTATTTTTCTAAAAACATCATATCTTACCGGTAAGTAATAGTGTAAAAAGCATATATATATATATATATCTAAGAACGCAACATCTTACCCGTAATTTATTAAGTAAATAGCCTCATTTTTCAAAAACACCATATCTTACCTCTAAGTTATAGTGTAAAGTGTCTATATATCTGAGAACGCAACATCTTAAACGTAGTTTATTGAGTAAATAGCTTATTTTTCTAAAAACATCATATCTTACCGGTAAGTAATAGTCTAAAAAGCCAATATATCTGATAACGCAACATCTTACCCGTAATTTATTAAGTAAATAGCCTAATTTTTCAAAAACACCATATCTTACCTCTAAGTTATATTGTAAAGTGTCTATATATCTGAGAACGCAACATCTTAAACGTAGTTTATTGAGTAAATAGCTTATTTTTCTAAAAACATCATATTTTACCAGTAATTTATAGTGTAAAAAGCTTATATATCTGAGAACGTAACATCTTACCCGTAATTTATTAAGTAAATATCCTAATTTTTCAAAAACACAATATCTTAACCATAAGTTATAGTGTAAAAAGCATATATATCAGAGAACGCAACATCTTACAAGTAATTTATTAAGAAAATAGCCTAATTTCAAAAAAACACCATATCTTACCGATAAATTATAGTGTAAAAAGCCAATAAATCTGAGAACGCAACATCTTACCCTTAATTTATTAAGTGAATAGCCTAATTTTCCAAAACCATCATATCTTGCCGGTAAGTTATAGTGTAAAAAGCCAATAAATCTGAGAACGCAACATCTTACCCTTAATTTATTAAATAAATAGCTTAATTTTCCAAAAACACCATATCTTGCCGGTATGTTACAGTGTAAAAAGACAATATATCGAAGAACGCTACATCTTACCCATAACTTATTAAGTACATAGCCTAATTTTCCAAAAACACCATATCTTAACTGTAAGTTATAGTGTAAAAGGCCTATATATCTGAGAACGAAAACATTATACCTGTAATTTATTTAGTGAATTGTCTATTTTTCTAAAAACACCATATCTTACCGGTAAGTTATGGTGTAAAGTGCTTATATATCTAAGAACGCAACATCTTACCCGTAATTTATTAAGTAAATAGATTATTTTTCTATAAACACCATATCGTACCGGTAAGTTATAGTGTAAAAAGCCTATATATCTGAGAACGCAACATCTTACCCGTAATTTATTACGTGAATTGCATATTTTTCGGAAAACACCATGTCTTATCGGTAAGTTGTAATGTAAAGTGGCTATATATCTGAGAAGGCAACATCTTACCCGTAATTTTTTGACTAAATACCAATTTTTCTAAAAACACCATATCTTATGGGTAACTTATAGTATAAAACGCATAACGCAACATCTTACCCATAATTTATTGAGTAAAAAGCCTAATTTTCCAAAAACACCATATCTTGCCGGTAAGTTATAGTGTAAAAAGCCTATATATCTAAGAACGCAACATCTTATCTGTAATTTATTCACTAAATACCCTAATTTTCCAAAAAACACCATATCTTACCGGTAATTTATAGTGTAAAAAGCCTATATATCAGAGAACGCAACATCTTGCAAGTAATTTATTAAGTAAATAGCCTAAGTATCCAAAAACACCATATCTTACGGTAAGTTATAGTGTAAAAAGCCTACAAATCTGAGAACGCAACATCTTACCCTTAATTTATTAAGTAAATAGCCTAATTTTCCAAAAACACCATATCTTGCCGGTAAGTTATAGGGTAAAAAGACTGTATATCTAAGAACGCAACATCTTACCCGTAATTTTTTAAGTAAATTGCCTAATTTTCAAAAAACATCATATCTTACCAGTAAGTTATAGTGTAAAAAGCCTATATATCTTAGAACGCAACATCTTACACATAATTTATTAAATAATAGCTTAATTTTCAAAAAACACCATATTTTACCGGGAAGTTATAGTGTAAAAAACCTATATCTCAAAGAACGCAACATCTTACAAGTAAGTTATTAAGTAAATAGCCTAATTTTCAAAAAACACCATATCTTACCGGTAAGTTTTAGTGTAAAAAGCCTATAAATCTGAGAACGCAAAATCTGACCCATAATTTATTAAGTGAATAGCCTAATTTTCCAAAAACATCATATCTTGCCGGTAAGTTATAGTGTAAAAAGCCTATATATCAGAGAACGCAACATCTTACAAGTAATTTATTAAGTAAATAGCCTAATTCCCAAAAACACCATATCTTACCGGTAAGTTATAGTGTAAAAAGCCAATAAATCTGAGAACGCAACATCTTACCCTTAATTTATTAAGTAAATAGCTTAATTTTCCATAAACACCATATCTTGCCGGTATGTTACAGTGTAAAAAGCCAATATATCAGAGAACGCACATCTTACAATAATTATTAAGTAAATAGCCTAATTTCCCAAAAACACCATATCTTAACTGTAAGTTATAGTGTAAAAGGCCTATATATCTGAGAACGAAACATTTACCTGTAATTTATTTAGTGAATTGTCTATTTTTCAAAAAACACCATATCTTACCGGTAAGTTATAGTGTAAAGTGCTTATATATCTAAGAACGCAACATCTTACCCGTAATTTATTAAGTAAACAGCCTAAATTCCCAAAAAACACCATATCTTACCGGTAAGTTATAGTGTAAAAAGCCAATAAATCTGAGAACGCAACATCTTACCCTTAATTTATTAAGTAAATAGCTTAATTTTCCATAAACACCATATCTTGCCGGTATGTTACAGTGTAAAAGGCCAATATATCAGAGAACGCCACATCTTACAAGTAATTTATTAAGTAAATAGCCTAATTTCCCAAAAACACCATATCTTACCGGTAAGTTATAGTGTAAAAAACCAATAAATTGGAGAACGCAACATCTTGCAAGTAATTTATTAAGTAAATAGCCTAAGTATCCAAAAACACCATATCTTACTGGTAAGTTATAGTGTAAAAAGCCTACAAATCTGAGAACGCAACATCTTACCCTTAATTTATTAAGTAAATAGCCTAATTTTCCAAAAACACCATATCTTGCCGGTAAGTTATAGGGTAAAAAGACTGTATATCTAAGAACGCAACATCTTACCCGTAATTTTTTAAGTAAATTGCCTAATTTTCAAAAAACATCATATCTTACCGTAAGTTATAGTGTAAAAAGCCTATATATCTTAGAACGCAACATCTTACACATAATTTATTAAATAATAGCCCTAATTTTCAAAAAACACCATATTTTACCGGGAAGTTATAGTGTAAAAAACCTATATCTCAAGAACGCAACATCTTACAAGTAAGTTATTAAGTAAATAGCCTAATTTTCAAAAAACACAATATCTTACCGGTAAGTTTTAGTGTAAAAAGCCTATAAATCTGAGAACGCAACATCTGACCCATAATTTATTAAGTGAATAGCCTAATTTTCCAAAAACATCATATCTTGCCGGTAAGTTATAGTGTAAAAAGCCTATATA